TACAGGTATTCTTAATGTAAAAAAAAATTTAAAACAATGGGAAAAAAGGTAATGGAGACCCAACTTTTGACATACAGTAAAACCTGAGAAAACCGGACCCTGAGAAAACCGGATCACTGTCCATTCCGGACGATATTCTCAGTCCCTTCCCATTTCAATAGGCGGCCTGTGTTAAAAGCCCACCCTTTCCAAACCAGATCACTGTCCAAACCGGACATTTTTTACAGTCCCATGGGTGTTCGGTTTTCTCAGGTTTTACTGTACAAACAAATCAACTTACAAACAGCCTCTCGGTCCCCATTATGTTCTTAAGTTGGGGACTTACTGTATGTATGTATGTATGTATGTATGTAAGTATGTATATATATAAATATATATATATATATATATATATATATATATATATATATATATATATATAAATATATATATATATATATATATGTATATATATATATATATATATATATATATATATATATATATATATATATATATATATATATATAGTAAGGATGAATAGGTAGACTAAGACTGCCGTGAAGAACTTCATGATTTATTGGATTTTTATCTTTTTGGTTCATTAATCATAGCACTGATGATGGAGATTTGATTGTCTTCGAAATGTTTGCAATAAATCATGAAGTATATATATATATATATATATATATATATATATATATATATATATATATATATATATATATATATATATATAATATATATATATATATATATATAATATATATATATATATATATATATATATATATATATATATATATATATATATATATATATATATATATATAGATATAGATATACATACTAAGATATATAAATATATATATATATATATATATATATATATATATATATATATATATATATATATATATATATATATATATATATATATAGATATAGATATACATACTAAGATATATAAATATATATATATATATATATATATATATATATATATATATATATATATATATATATATATATATATATATATATATATATATATATATATCAATCATAAGAAAATGCAAAAATGAGGTTTTACGTACCAAACTGTGTGGAGACTATTGCCTCCAGTGACAATTAGACCTATATGTTTGTTTGGCGCTTTCAGTACTAGTTACTTGCCAATTTGAGGCATTATTGTATATAAACTACTTGACTACAACATCATTCTAATATAAACGATAAACAACTGTTTTTACCCTTAATAAAAGTTTTCAAACATGCAAACATTTAAAGTAAAATCAAAAAAAAAAATTACAGCAATGTTCCAATATGAATCCAAAGTATTAGTCAAGCTCAGAGCAAATGAAATCTCTCCCTACCTGTACAGCTCCAGGACAGAGGACACATTAGCTAAAGCCCATGAGGCCAGAAGACGATCCCTGTTGACATTGCTTTCCTTTTGTGCAAGGATGTCTGAGGTTGTCACAACAGTTGCACGTAGGAGGCCCACACCAAGGGGATTTCCAACCACACCAGGGAAGCCCACAATGATGGCCATTATGCGGACACCTGCCAAGCGCAGATCTGGGTCTGGGTTGGTCACAAGCCACTTTACTGTGGTCACAACTTGTGTAATCCACTTCTCACCAAGGCTCTCAAATATCTGTAAGAGGTTGAGATAAATTACCTGGCCAAGAAGAAAACAAAAAGGGTGGAGGAGATACTCAGGATGTATTTTTGCCTGATTAACTCACAACACTGAAAGAATCTCAAAACTATTGCATTAAATTGACAGTCAAGCTTTAGTCCTGATGATGTGTGTCAGGATATATTTGATGGTAGGAAAAGTGATATGTTATGTATTTTTATTACTCTATGGATAATACTTGTATTTGATAACTAATGATGGAAATTATCATTAAAATTACTGTGATTACCCTTTTATCCACTATATAGGTTTAGTTTACAATAATATAGGTGGCACCTAGGACCAGCAAGAAAGCAAGCTGTCCAGGGCATCCAATAATAGTCTCTACACAGTGCCGACTTCATGAGCAACAGAACACATCCAGATGCCACCTCCTGTTCTAAATTACTAACGGTACAGGATATCTACAAAGACTAGGCAGAAGATGAAGCACATCATATGCAGTAGCTGCAATGTGCCTACTGTGCCAGTATGGTTGTTTTGAATTATGGTATTCACAGATGTAGGTAAAGCATACCTTTTGTATCCCTTTTACTTCAAGTATTTTTTCCTTCTTATAAAACTATATTTATCACACACAGTGTATGGAACATCAAGTGCTGATACGGACTCTAAGCTAAAGTTTCAGGCAACTTCATCATTAATAAAGACTTCTTGATGACTCACATGATATGATAATACGAGGGGGGGGGGGGGAATCCTAACATATAAAGTTGCTCTAGTTTACAATGCATGGATGAAATAGCGAGATAGGTGACTCCTTGCTCCATTCCACTCTCTCAAATAAAATCTAAACAGAGTGCAGTTCACCTGAGGCCCTAGCTAGCAACTCCTATGTCAGTGAAGAAGGGGATTAATCTAAGAAAACAGTAGGTAAGGTCAGAATTACTTACTGTGGGACTGAAGTGTGAGAGGACAGTAGCAGTGGCCACCAACTGTTTATGGTGATCTTGGTTCTCTAATACTTCTATTTCCTCTTTGTTTCTCCAGTTCTGAGTCTCTTGCTTCAACATGTCTGGAAATGAACATATCAAACTTATTTGACAGGAAATTACCATAGCTCTCTGTCTTCTCATTGACATTAACTTGGCCTACATGTTCCCCTTTAATTGCCTACAAAAATGCACCTGCAACAATGGAATGATTATTTTGGCATTTTGAAGAGATAAATTGTGCTTCTCTTGGATCAACATGATCCCGCACCCAGGGGTGATGTGTGAGTGATAACCTAAAGATAACTTGGTCCCCCTATTAATGTATTTTCAAGGTTCTTTTAGTTTTACTCATTTCTGCAATATATTCAACTATTTCTATCACACAAACAAATCTGCGATTTTTTTCACTCATAATACTCATTCACTCATTTTATACAACAAAACATAATAAAAATATAATGTACCAATAAATACCCAATTCCTTACTTTAACATTTTCATGGCAGATAATCAAACTAGCTCTTAACCCAATGCTGCCAGGGAAAATGAATAAAAAATGGGGAAAATGTTGTGCTCACTTTCTATATTTCTTATGAAGTGTCTCTGCACATAGATGGCACTGCTAGTGCTTAGCCACAAAGGAGTCAACTAGTAGAACTTATGACCTTACCTGATTTGAATTGGCGGGAAAAATGTATTTTTTACTAGTGCTATGAATATCGATGGTGTTATTTTTATTATAAACATTATAATTACTATAATGTTATAAACATTATTAACAGCAAAATAAGATAACGTAAAATATTTTCGTAAATCAAAGAAAAGGGTAAACGGGCTAGACAGGCAGTACACATAATTGGCTCATTGGTGACTTAATGCAAGTGTAGCCATCTATGTGTCAAAACAATTAAACAAGTAAACTCACAGTGGGCATGGCAGGCCTGTCAGCATTGGGTTAAAGGTAGAGGGCAAGATAGCAATATAGTCTTAGTTTTAGGATTATTCATTATCATACAGACTCATTCATTTGTGTCCATATCATCAGGAGGTTGATATACTAAATACTCCTAATATTTAAGTCTCACTTGACTTTAGAGGGATTTACTTTAATGTTTTAATGTTTAAAACCTTTCTATCCTATTCATTTACCTTAGGTAAATGATCATACTTTAGGAATATTTCAATTTATATCTATATATAATATCATAATGTAATATATAATGTAAATATAAAATCCTAGTAGGCTTACACAAAATTTGGGTCCTGCCCTTGTCTACCTAAGAAATAAACCTCATATTCACATAAGTTTCTCCATGTATGTAAGAATATCAACCATTCTATAAGGGACCATCATGGGTTACTTAATCCTATAAAGATAACAATCTCAGATAACTCAGTGATGTTTTGGAGAGTATAAAAATGTGCTTCTTCTCATAAATATACATTTCCACCCTTTCCCTCTACAGGGCAAATTTTCTCACCTGGGCCTGAATCCTGCTTTATGATGCTGATTGGATCTGAAAAGTTGTTATGATCTACTGCCAATGATGAAGCCATTTGCAGTAGACCATGTAGAGGACCCTGTGGGTGAAGCAAAGCTAAGCATAATAATCTATAAAAGGAAAACTGTGAATCTTTTTTTTAGAGAATTCTGGTTTATAAACAGTATATAAAGTGAATATGTACACATTGTGACAAATGTTTAAATCATAATAAGTAACAATCAGAAAGCCAATGAAATGACCTGTAATGTCCAGAGCCACAGCTGCTGCACTTGGTCTACTGACACACATGAGCTAGTTCCTTTCTCAAGCTCTATTTTTACAGCACCTAACAAGGATCCAAGCAGTGTGTAAGCATGTTCCACCACAACACCTGAAACAACAAAGTCATAAAGTATTAAAAAACACCAAATAATGTTTAAAACACACAAAACTTTTATGTGGTCGCACAAACAAATATGCGTGCACGCACACACGCACACACACACACAGACAAATGCTAACCCTAAAGAAAGAAAGAAAGAAAGAAAGAAGAGAGAGAGAGAGAGAGAGAGAGAGAGAGAAAGAGAGAGAAAGAGAGAAAGAGAGAGAAAGAGAGAAAGAGAGAAAGAGAATACTATGAAACTTACCTGGATCTGGTGACATTAATGTTGGATCTATGACATCATTAACTTCAAGCTTATTTGAATATTCAACAATCCATCTCTCAGGTTTAGCTTCAGCAGGTTCTCTCAAGGCTTTGCTACACACAGATATGACATGCTGAATCAATGGCAGACTTTGATGGATGATGTTCAAGTGTTCACTTACTAGAGCACTTAACACCTTTAGTGACTGCAGTTGAACCTGGAGAAGCAGAGAATCAATGGTTTTGAATAAAATCAATAATTTACTTTAAAATTATCAATCAAAAACCATAATTTTGAAAACACATCTACTCATTTTAAAATATTCAAATGACCATAAAGAAGTTCTTAACAGAAAATAACTGCTTCTTTACTTGTATGTATATGCCCCTCACTGCCTCATGATCAGGTGTGAGGAGAGAGTCCATGCATCGTTGAATGAGCCAAGACACCATGGACTTCCCCTGATCTTTGTCTTCACTTGCTTTTTCTCCTTCCTCTTCACTTAGCTGCAATAGTTATGATTCTTTGATAATGAAAGACCTCAGAGGATTTGAGCAACTTTACAGTGACACAAACTTTTATTATTTTGATTATTCTTTTTTTTTTTTTTACTTTATAGTGACAGAAAATTTTATATATATTTGCTCTTTTTCTTTCACTGTTTTACTACCACACAATGCTAATTTCATTGTACCTTGTATATTAAATAAAGTATTCTAAAAATAAAATATTCACCATTCTATCTCCTTCATAAAGGGGAAACCAAAAGCCCATAAAAAATAAAAGAAATTACCCAATTCATCATTGCCATTTTTTTCTCCAATTTAGACTCTGCCTCCTCATTCTCATCATCAACCAGCTCCTCCTCCTCCCCTGGAAGTTCCTCTTCCAAGAGTGAAGGGGGTGTGACTTCAGGAGGGGAGACTAATGTTGCTGGAGCAGGAGTCTTGAAGCGCAAAAGGATGTCTTGAAGTTCAGGCACTTGTGGTTTGATCATGAGCACACTCACCATCACTGAAAAAGCATTGGCTCGAACTACAGCCTCTGGTAAGAAAAAGAGACTGAGTTAGGTGGGTTATGTGTACTCTGTGCTATACTTTTAAAGGAACTGATTCTACTATTTGAAATAATATGTCTAGGTGTACATGCATACTGGCACAGTGCCACCAAAATTTGCCGTAAAGTTATGCTTACCTTTATATCTCATGAAGTATTTGACGTGAGTAACAACTTTTGTCAACATTCCTGGTTTCAGCTTTGAGTAGTTAACATTTTCAACTAGCAGTTCAATGGTTTTTAAAGTTCTCACAAGAGCACCAGGAAACTTTTCAGATAGAAGGGCTAATGATAGACAGCGATGCAGCTCCCTGATGCTTGTTCCTAGTTGGTGACCTAGAGTGGCATAAGAACCTCTACCTTCACTGAAATATAAATAGGTTTATCTTGTAAGTCATTATTTATTGGATTTTGTTGTGCAAAATATAACATTCAAACTGCACATGAATCTAAAGATAATCCATTAAAAATTACTATTGCCCTTTACTCACAGGGAAAATTTTTCTGAAATGCAACTGCCAATGATTTTTTATTTATGTTCAAGGTGTTGCTTCCTGTAAAGTAATACTTAAATAAACTCACTCATCCACAGCAAGTGTAAGGACTTGTGAAGAATCAAGAAGGAAAGTATTTATGACTTGTAGCGAAGCCATTCTCACTGATGGCGAGGGATCCTTCAAAACACTTGTCATCAGTGATGGATTCTGGCACATTAGGGGTGGCCAATAGCTGAACTTGTGTTGTTTTCCAATTTTCTGAAAAAAATAAACCATTAAAAATTAAAGATAAAATATATCATTAGTACTAAGATTAGGAGTGGTATTACAATTTTGCAGAACTGTGTATCCTACTGCAATAATTACTTTATCATTATCATTCTTCAAGACTAGTAGCTCCACTTCCATTTAGCCTGTTGAACCCAAAAGGGAACTTGACCTTTCCTTGTTTATAGTGTAGAATGTTTCTTTAACATAAATAACAGAGTGGAATTTTTGTTGTGCTTCTGGTAGTTATAATAATATCAAGAAAATTATACAAATATATATGTATCTAGCAATATCTAATATAAGTTTGAAGGTTTTTGACAGTGTTTTTTTTCAGTGGTACTATATTTTCTTTGAAAATGGTTCAGTAATGATAATGATGAATAAAAATAATAGAAAAAGAAACCATGAGAGTAAGAAAAAAAAAATCTGTTAATATTTGCAATGAATGTAGGCAAACTGAGATGGAATAGAGCTACCTGATATGATCTAAGAAAAGTATCTGTAATTATAATGACATCTATACATAAATACTCAATTACTGATTATTTGAATATTGTTTTACCTTACACTCCTTTAGTGCAAAGATGAAAAAGAAGAAATATTTTAAATGTATTATTCCACAGTACAATATATAACTAACAGTACTCTGACATATCTTACACATGTTATACATAAAATTTGTATTCTAGGGAATTTAATTAAAGGTACTTTATGATATATCTCACACAATTTATATTAATAAAAAATAAAGAAAATAATATTGGAAATGCACACTTTTTTAAATAACATTCTTTTATAGTTTCTATAGTTAAATAAATTACTTATATAGAGCCAGCAAACAGAAATGGAGAAAGATTTAATTCTGGTACAAAATGACACAACAAAATTATTGAATTTGCAAATTTTCCAATCCAATTCAATCTCTCAT